ATTAGGAAGACAACTAGTGGGAGAAAGTGGTGTGTTTTTTTTTTTTTTTTAAACCATATACCTATCAGTCAAGGGGACTTTTCACTTTTCTGATTCAATAGCTTGCAACTGTTTGGGATCTTATAAATAACAGAGCTGCTGGCCATCTTTCCACATCTGACTGAGCAGAGGTGGGTGACAGCTCTTCATTTATTTCTTAACCTTGTTTTAATCTTAACACTGAAAATGTTTCACACTTTCCCTTGTAGTCTGGATTTGGGAATGTAATTTTATTTGCCAGTGTTCTGGTTTAATGTGCAATGTAATTAGTTTAGGTTGGATTTTTGAGTGTCACTTTCTGTCATTAGCCTGATTTGATGCTTTGACTCCATGAGGAATGTTGCTGAATTTCCTTTGTTGTTCACCCCTCTCTTAAAAATTCGGATGATCTGAGTATATTTGGTCCTGATTTGGTGTGGAGTGATGGTACGAAGTGGAGGACTACAGCACCATTTAACTAGTGGCCCACTGAATGTCCAGGAATCTATTAACGTTTAGCTTGCACGTTCCCTATGTACTGCAGAGTTTCAGTAGGCTATACAAACAAATTGTACTGGAATGCTTTTGGGCAACCTCAACTTAAAAAAACTCAACTAGATGATTTCTTAATGTCCTTTCTAGGTCAATATTTTTTCAGTATAAGGTATGTTAATGTTTCTATACTACTTTTAATGTTTAAAATATATTGAAGTTTTAGATTGCCTTAATCATGTTTTAAATGGTGAAAGGCAGTGAAATTATATAGGAGGAACACAGAAAACGTGCTGGGGGGAGAGGGAAGAGCGCAGTGATTCCTTTCTGAAGGAAAAAACTGTTTGGCTGAAATGATGATCTCTGCATGCAGTTACAGATTACTGATACCTCCTTTATAATTAGCATGACTATTACATCTTCTGTAGTGCGTAGTTTTGCCCCTTATTAAGCACAGATGTCCATGGAGGAACATTGGCAACGAGTTAATGTTTTGAAAATTGCTTGTTTAGGTGTTTTTACTTTATTTACAGATCTAACTCTTGTGCTACTTTACTGCATTCAAATGCTGCTTTAGCAATATCAGCACTAGGGCATGAATGAACTGTCATCATATTTGGCAGGAAAAATAGAGGCTGGAGGCAAAAGTGCATGAGTAAGAAAGGTGGCTCAGGCTTCACTTCCAAAGCAGAGGTAGAGGAAAATTGGGCAAATGACCCCTTCTCAGCAGTCAGTAGCACTCTGCATTCAGCTTCTCGCTTTCTGGACTTCACTGAGCCTCTTGTGCTGGGAGAACACTGAGAAATCTCAGTGTGTAAATCTAATCATCAGCAAACCTCCCTTGAACCAAAAACATTATGAGCTTCAGTGGCCTAAGTTGGTTAGACTGTGAAGTCTATATAGAAGGTCTTCCCAAGAAAGTGATTTCGGGACAAAATTGAGAAAGACTTGCATATAATAATGATTTCAGGCCTCCTATTGGGCAGTCTTGGGGTTGGGGTCAGGATCTTTGCATAGGCTGAATGGAGGGGCAAGAGGGAATGGGGGAGATGCTTTAGAGGACTGAGGAGGAGGTTTCTGGAAGATAATTTGTGTTTTTTTGAAACTTGCATTTGAAGACTGCTTAAAAAAGGTTTACTGGAAAAAAATTAAGATTCCTAGGTGCATTTTCCAATGTCAGTAGGAAAGAAGTTGTCCTGTTACATATTTAAATGCAGTGGTTTCCTTCTGACAAAAAAATCTCCCCAGGAGAAGAGAGAGCACCTTCTCAGTCTCCTTTTCTACTTTGTTTTATTATGAAACTCAAGTGGAATATTGTTAGAATAGTGATGCTTAGAATTATTATTTGGAATTAGAAGTATGAGTTCTCATGAAATAATTAGGTTGCTGACTGTGGGATATACTTAAAGATCTTTGAGACCACTCAATTGGCTAGAAGTCCTAAACCACACTTTTAAAAGGTAAGGAAATTCAAGGTCAGTATGGAAACAAACTCTTGTAATGGAAGCTGGCATTTGAATTCCTTGGCTTTGTGAAGATATTCTTGCTTTATGGTTTTGAAGAAGAATCATAATCTTCTGTACTGCTGATAAATGCATATGGCCTTAACTTTATTTTAGTTCATCCAGACTGAAATGTTTAAAGCCTGCTGTATGTCACTTAGCAAATGCTAACGTAGGGAAAAGTGTAGATTTCCTGGAAACCTTCGGTTGTTAAGCAGCAGAAGCCAAGGTGAGAAAGGATCTCTTATTATATCTGTGCTTCTATCGTGACAGCTGAACAGTTTTTATCCTAAACTGTGAGTGTTAAAGCTTAATGTCTATGAATTAGTTTTTTTCAATGTTTGAGTTCAGATATTTTCCTCAAAGAAGTTTTTCCTCTTCAGCCTTTGTTTGCAATGAGGAGCGCATTGAAAAACAAGTGAACAAACTCCTCAAACCTGCCTTGGAAGATTGTATCCTAGAAAATAAGAGGTGCCATAAGCATTGTGTCTAGCGTTCTCTTTGCTAGTAGCATAAAAACTAAATATTTTGGACATACTTTCTGTAAAGCTGCTGACAAGGCTTGCCTCTTTAACATCTATATAATGGTATGGTTAAGATCCTACAGTAGTGGGAGCAGTACAGCAGTGTCTGTAGTAGTAGCAGAGCGTATATCTTGTTCTTTTCAAATTGTCACGCTTGGTTTGGCTCAGTCTACTCTATTGCTCCCAGAGTAGAAGGAAGAAAGGAAGTGTGCTTAAGAAACTGATATGCTATGTTTTACTACAGAAAGAAATATGAAGGCCTATAGGTAGCGATACATGTAATGTACTCAGCCTGATATTAGGACTTTACCTCTGGGTGTAGGAATATTTGAGGTTTGTATTCCAATTGTCTATGCTACGCCTAGTGCACAAGCAGTCAAACTGCTTTTTGAAATGGCTCTTGAATTGGTGAAATACTAACTCAAGTTTTTAAAGATGCAAATGGCCGAAAAAAGATGATATTTTCTCAGGAGTGGGGAGGATTAGTTTAAAAATCTTGCATTAATGATTTGTGAGAGTTACACTTTGAGATGTGTTATTTATTGTATCAGCACATAGCCAGTACCACTAGATATTTTTAAGACGTGCAAGGGATTGGATGTTTGTTTTTTTTTTTTCTTTTTAACTAAAGGCAAGTATCTCTGGTAAAGATGCTGTACAGTGAGGTGCTATATTGCGTTGTTTTTTTAGTTGATCTTACACAGTTGATCTGTATAAAAGAAAATCTTAAAGATCAAGACTGATGCTTCGTACTTAAAACAGTATTTTTACTGCTGTCGCAGATGGTAACTATTTAGTGACTTGTTTATGCCCAATTTTTTTGGCATAAAATGAATTTGTGAATGTGGGCATTCACCTGAGGTTTTTAAAATGATTCTGTGAGCCCTCAGATTCTGTGAAGGGAAATGAAATTTTGACTTAAGTATTCCTTTCAAGATTCTGAAACTGAATAAAAGGCTGAATTTTTTACAAATCCAGAAGTGATCAAAAATTTAAATTGGCAAGATTGAAGATCTAGTAACTGAGAGATTTGTTGGTATCATGCAGATTTTGGATTTGGAAAAAATGTTTCCCCTATTTTCTGGATATAGTGTCAGATATTTGGTGGGCCAACTTTTTTTCTTTGTTTGACATAATTGACAAAAGTCTGATAATGTAGACTGAAATTGTGAAATGGAAGAACTGTGTTCCACCTGCATGTCTAAGAGGGAGTTAGCTGAGATATTGATAGCATAGTGATGAAATGTTTTTTGAAACTGCAAGTTGTGATACAAGTAGCATGCTAATATTTGTTCATTTAATAGAGCAGTAAATTGCCTGTAAGCATAGAACTTTTAAGTGTGCAGCAGGGAATAGGTAAGTTTCCTTTCTTGCAATTGCATCGGGGGTGCAATAGCTTGGTAAAACCTGTTCTGAGTGGAGTGCTTTCTTTTACTTGCATTCACAGGACTGAGCAAAAAAAAAGAAAAAAGGCATTTTTCAAATGCTGAACTACAACTATTGATAAAGGACAGAAGAGAGCCACTTTTGCTTTGCTGCCGATGAGAGATTATACTGAGAAAGGAAACCTTTTTTTTTTTTTTTTTGAAAGAAAAACTTGATAGAATCAGATCTAATGAGAAAAGGAACAGGTCAAATACCTAGTGAAACTTTTTTGTGAGTTTGTTTAGGCCTAGGAGAAGTGACCCTAAGGAAGTGATGGAAATGATCCCTTGCAACTTTGTTGGTATTTTTCTGATCTGTTTTTAGAGTTTGGGGAAGGAGGTGTACTATGTTCCCTCGTCTGACTTCTTTTCCTGACGGATAAGGATGAAACTTCTCTGCCTGATGGCAGAGCATGGGCAACTGTTATGATGAGTTGGAAACTGTGAAGAACTTCCACTTATTTATCTTATGTTATCTTCCACTTATCCACAAAATATACAGTAAATTTTTGTTTCATGCGAAAGGATGTTTAAAGGAGCAGATAAATGCTTTTTAATAGAATTTGCTGGCTACTGAGTTGCAACGCTACTTCTGTTTGTGCTTCGTTTTTATACTTTCGGTTTGGGAGGGAGATTGCTTTTCCATCAGTCGTGCTTACTATGGTTTGAATGGCTAAACAACTTGTCTTCCAGAAATACCAAACAAAAATGTTGAAGTTGTAATTATGTTATTCCAAAAAGTTTTAGCAAATCTCCCATCTAAAGTTTCTAAGTCAGTATTGCAAGAACTGAATATGTTATTTTTCTTGAAGGGAGCTGAAACCCTAAAATGTGTATGAAGTCTTTTTTTTTTTTTTTAGCATACTGGGAGAAATAAGATTTCAGTAATGATTTGTTAAACATCTCTCTTGCTGTTTCATTGCTCACGTTCTCTGGTTGATCTTAGATTTCAAAGCTTTTGTTTTATGCAGATGGCTTCTACTTTCGTAACTTAACTAACTTGAACTCTTGATAACCCTGCTTTCTCCTTTGCATTTTAGTGCAAAAGATGATATTGATATCGATGCCCTTGCTGCTGAGATAGAAGGTGCAGGAGCTGCAAAGGAGCAAGAGCCTCAGAAATCTAAAGGCAAAAAGAAAAAAGAAAAGAAGAAACAGGATTTTGAGTAAATATTTTTTGCTGTCTGTCTTATTTTGTTCTGTTATACACAAACTCAGTTATTTGAGTCCCGTAACTTCTTTCTTATTTTAGTGAAGATGATATCCTGAAGGAGCTGGAAGAACTGTCACTAGAGACGCAAGGAGGGAAAGCTGACAGGGAACCTTCTACAGGAAAGGTGAACAATGTGAGGGAGGTGGGCTATGTAGTAAGAAATAGTTGGACTACCACACACAACTGTCCCGGAGAAGTTCTCGTGCTGCAGTGTAGTTGGAGGTCCTCGGTGCATCTTAGCAGTTTGTATATTATTTTTAATAACGCTTGCTCGTGTTTTCATATTAAATGTCAACTGTGACAAATTTTACCAGAAGCCATGTCTGCATGCAGATGATTATCCAAAACCAAGCAGAATAAAATTTAATTAGGGGCTTTGTAGTACCTTAATAGAAAAGCACTGTAGTCTACTGCTTTTCAAACTTTGTCTTCAGTAAGAGAAGATTTTTCTTGAGATTTGAATGCTGCATCTCAGAATGCACAGCATATCATTTTTCATGGCATTATTATATAATTGTTTATTACTAGGCTGAAAACGAAGAAATCGGCTTATCAAAACAAGACAAAAAAAGGAAAGGAAAGAGTAAAAAAACCAGTCTTGAAAATGACTATGACAGTGAGGAAGGCGAAGATAAAGATACAAAATCTAAAAAAATTCAGAAAGCAAAACAAGAAATGCTTTCTGGCAGTGATGATGATGATCATGAGATGCTGCTTAAGAAAAACAAAGGGAAAACTCAGAAGTCGAATAAAAAGCAGGACCTGTCAGAAGAAGATGAAACTAACATTAAGAAAAGCAAAGAACGTGTAGGGGCAGTGTCTACAGGTGAGAGTGGTGATGAATCGGATGAGATCTCCCATCCTAAAAAAGGACAAAAGAAGAACCAAAAACCAAAGCCCACTCCTGCTGCTGAAAGTGGGGATGAGGAAGAAGAGCCTTCATTCAAGGTAAAAACAGTAGCTCAAAAGAAGGCAGAAAAAAAAGAGCGCGAAAGAAAGAAACGTGAGGAGGAAAAAGCCAAACTGAGGAAACAGAAAGAGAAGGAAGAATTAGAAGCTGGTAAAGAACCAGCAAAGCTGAAGGAAGCTCCAAAGAAAGCTGAAGAGAAGGCTTCCTCTGAAGCCTCTGCCCCTGGGGAAAAGGGAGAGACTCCTGCTGCAACAGAAGGTTGGTTACAAAGTTTCTAAAACCCTTATAATTTAAAAACTTATTTAAAAAAAAAAAAAAGGCCAAAGAGTTGGCAGGCCATGAGGATGAGTTGCTGCTTTCTTGTAAATCAGGAACACTAGATATTTGGTAACCTTTTCTGCCTTTTTACATTGGCTAACATGTGGCTATTTTTCTTGGCCTGAGGTTTGTTCAGATACATGGGGAAACAAAAGACAGATAGTGATTCTCATTACAACGTAGACTTACAGTTCTGTAATCCAAACACTTTTTCACTTCCCAGTTATTCCTAGATACCTGTTACATGAACACTTCAGGCTCTGTCTTTGTAATTTAATAGACAGACTTATTTTTTCAATCTGAAGTGCTTATATGTTAGCCAAAGTCTCTTATATTTGGATCTTTGTGTAGTACTTGAAACATTAACTGTATTTGCAGTCTCTAAAATTTCTGGCATCTTTGCATGCATGCCTCTTTCATCTGCAGCTGATGACAATGAGGGGGACAAAAAGAAGAAAGACAAGAAGAAAAAGAAAGGTGAGAAGGAAGAAAAAGAAAAAGAGAAGAAAAAGGGTCCTAGTAAAGCCACAGTTAAAGCTATGCAAGAAGCCTTGGCTAAAATGAAAGAGGAGGAGGAAAGGGCAAAAAGAGAGGAAGAAGAACGCATAAGACGGCTGGAGGAACTGGAAGCTAAACGCAAAGAGGAGGTATCTCATATCTTATTCTGAGGATAGAATGAGGGAGGTGGTGATCTTAGCTTCTGCGCCAATGGCTCAGTTGCCAGATTATTCCTTAATATATATTCTATTGATTAGAAACATACTTTTGCCAGCTTTTGGTTGTGTAAAGTGCACTTTAAAATCTCTGCGTGGTTTTTTTGGTAACGTTTTTCTAGGAAAGATTAGAACAAGAGAGGAAAGAAAGAAAGAAACAGAAAGAAAAAGAGAGGAAAGAGCGTTTGAAGAAGGAGGGAAAACTTTTAACAAAAGCTCAACGAGAAGCCAGAGCCAGAGCGGAGGCTACTCTTAAGCTCCTCCAAGCTCAGGGTAAGTTGTAATGTAAGCAATAGCATTTCATACCCATTACTGCTCTTTGCATTTGAATTTTGTTACCTGGGGATAGGAGTGCAAATACTGAGTAAATCCATGTGTAAATCTGTCAAGGGAGGCAGAGTGGCACTTTTTTGTTAGTAGCTCTAAATGTTTTACATTTTGCACCTTGAATATCTGACTTGTTAGTACATTTCACTTACAGTTTTAAAATGTTAGTTATACCAGTCTTTTGACTGCTCAGTCCCAAAGCAGCAGCAGATCTTGGAAGGCCACTGATCTGAGTCCTCTTGGGTTAATTCACGTGGTCACTTAAAGATCATTGTTTAACCTCAACCCAGCTAGTTCATAGGAACCGCATATCTTCTTGCGTTTTCTCTGGGGAGAGAGTACAGAAACTGTCTTGCTTTTCAGTCAAATACCTGCTTCTCCCTTGCTGTGAAGCAGATGTAAATGTATGCTGCCCTGTGTCTGATACATTGTAAGCCCATGTCCTGCTTAGTTTCTGGTAACTTGTCCACGTGGCTAAGGAAAAAAGTGAATTCCAGAGGTTGAATGTCCTTATTTTTATATTTGGAGAGAACCACTGTCTCATTTTGCTGAGGGAGGGGGGAAAAAGTGAGGAATCTCTGTAGCTAGTACAAGCTCTGCGATTGCTGTTGCAGTTTAGAGTCCTGCTTCTATGCTGCCACAACTCGATTTCTATGAAAATCTCAGTAAATTAAATTACCCAAAGGAATTCTGAATGTTATAGAAAGTACTGGAGTAATTAAAGGATACACTTGTTGCACCAAACTTCTGCTTTTAATTGAATCCCTTCCAGTATTTTTCTGGTGAGGTGAAAATGATGATGACTTCAGACTGTCATTATTTTCATAACTAAAACAAATCTGTGGTGTTTTAAAAATACAGCATTTATAGCAAAAGGCAAAATGCTATCTACTAACAAATGCTACTCTTAATTTGGAGCAGATAAGAGAAGTCTTCTTGTCTGAAATTAGGTCAACTGGCAGACTGTTTTAAAATGAATTCTAGCATAGAGGATTTTCAGTTGTTTGGTAAACTTGAGGGGTGTGTGTGTGTTCATGAAAGCCTATTTAAATGTGGTGGAAATTTTCAAATCTGCAGTTTTATGGTCTGACTTTTTTTCCATTTAGTGATAGGGCATTATGTGAGAGCATTCAGAGAACTTGAACTACTTAACAGCACTCAAGTTTTGTTACTTTTGAAAATTGGACTCAGATTTTTGTCAGCTAGAAAATGCATTGAATCTAGTTTCTACTCTTTCTTTCTTCTCTTTCACCTTCCAATTCTGGAAAATGTCATCTTATTTAAACCAAACCTTATGTTTAGCAAGTAATCACCTGGATTTTTTCTTAACTTTTGCAGGTGTTGAAGTGCCATCTAAAGACTCAGTGCCAAAGAAGAGGCCAATATACGAAGATAAAAAGAAAAAGAAGCAGCAGCAGCAGGAAAATAAAGAAGGTGTGGTTTGCATACGGTGATACTTAACAAATCAGTCACAGTTCATCAAATGTTTATAGAATAAATCAGTTGATCCTAGACTAATCGCATGTCAGGGTGCCTGCGAGTTCCTTTGTCTCCCCACCCCCACCATGCAAGTGCTGATGCATTAAGATCACAAAAATGTTTGGAAGACTGCTTATTTTATCCTTTGTTTTACAGTGTACTTGACCATTGTATTTTTTTTTCTAATCTAGTTTGTCTTTAGAATTTGTAAGTATTGTATAGAATGTAACACTGTTAGGAATGTGAGGCTGGATTTTTTTTTTGTGCTTATGTAGAATAAATACAACGAAGTGTAAATAACAATGACTTGTTGTTAAGTCTAAGTTGGCCCCCTGAGATGAAGGGTGATTGATGCCAGTTTTAATATTGAAGTTGTAGATAGGTTTTCTGTTTTCTTATGCACAAAGATGTTTGTGGTTTTGGAAGCTGAAAGCTATCAAGTCTTTAATTGAAAAACAAAACCAAAAAAACCCGAAGAATTTAAGTTAAAACTTAAAACTGAAACTTTAAACTTAAAATTTATCATACTAATTAGACATAGATTGAATGAGTTGAATGTGCAAGAATCTTTTGACTATTGTGCTTCATGGTTTTATTGTGGTGGTATTGTGACTCTTTTCAAGACCTTATTCACTGATTTTAAAAAATAATTACTTGAATCCAATATTTTCTGTTTAGCTGTTAAAGAAATCCCAGAATCTTGTGTTCAAAAGTGACGGTAATTCTTTTAGCCATTAACTGACCGATTATCCTCCACATCTTTTTAAAATGTGGTGGTTATTTGAGAAATGTTTGGCCTCCCAAGCAGTTAACTCTGTTCCAGATTGGTAAGTGGGTGTTTGGTTAGTTTTGGTATTAAATTTGAATTTAATTTTCCTGTAACGGTACAACTTAAAAATAGACATACAGCACAACATTTAACTTCTAACTAGGTTGGTTTCTACTTTGAGAGAATGTAGGAGTTAATTTGTTTTCTTGCAACTTCAGAAACTGTGGAGGTAACTTCCCCAGCTGAAGATGCTATAGAACTAGAAACACCAGTAAAAGAAGAGACTCTTCTTCCAGTAGAAACAGGTCAGTAGTAATGTTGTTAAAATATGCAATAAGGCTGTTGTGTGGTGGTACGGTGTGGCAAGTATTTTTCTAAAACCCTGTGTGTTGTTGAATGGCACTGAGTGGCCATCCTTTCTCAAGGTACTTACTGATTTCCCGCCCCCACCTCCCCCAAGAGGAACTGATGAAGTTGCATAGAATAAAAGGGCATGGAGCTTCAGAAAGTGAGATTTTAAAGGTCCCATATTCTGGGTATACCAGAGTCTTCCGTTAGCTTATGCAGCCATGACATATAAGCACTTTCAGTGCCTTATGATCAGCTCCCTTCACTTCTCGTGTGCTTTCTAAAAGTCTGCTTTGTCAGCTGTTAGAGGCAGCACGTTCACCCTGTCCCCTTCTGGTATTGATCCTGCAATCTTCACAGTGATTGTGTTCTTGATTCAGAGTGTTTTGTTTTCACAAGTGCTTAATGCAGTGGATATGGATTGGCTTTTGAAACCAAGGCTTTTCAGCCTAATGTGTGACTGTTGCTGTCATTCTTGCCTATAAACGGTACTTGTGTTGGCAAAATAACATCCTACTGGACTTCTTCCTCAGCCAGGAGACTCCACTTCAATTGTTACCTTTATTCTTAAGCCAGTCAAGTACTGAGAAAGCTTCTAGCTATGTGCTGAGTATGTACTCCAATTCTAGTTTGATTTCTCTCCTGAAGGAACAGTTCCATTGCCATGAAGGAGAAGGGTTCTCTGGCAGAACACTAGTTCTCAGTTAATGTTCTAGCAGACTGGTATTTACTCCTTCTGTTGGTTTCAAATAGTTGAAATTTCGTGACTTTCCATGTACTGCACCACATACGTTGTTTAATGCCTCTTTTGGAGAGGATTGGAGGTTGCTTTTTTTCCATTCGTCTCTTAAGAGCTGCAGTCTCTTCAGATGTGTGGCTGAGTTTCTGAGGGAATGAATATTTTAATGCTTCTGGAATTCATGGTGTTGTATAGTTATGTTAAGGCACCTGCAGTCTTAAAACAGCACTTTTTAAAGATACCATACTGTTTTCCTACTAATTAAAATTAGTACTGTAACCAAAATCTTTTCCTGTTTCTCTGTTGCTTTTTTACACGTGACTGTTAACTGGGCAGCTCCTTTCAAGGCACGTGGCTTTGGCAGAGATTTAGGTAGTGTTTATTAAGCAGATGCTTATAAGATGTGCAGACAGGAACTGAATCTATAGTAGTTTAGCTATGTGTTCCAAAAATAAGTTTTGGTAGGCAAAGGTGCTAGAGTTATAACTTCATGGAGAGAACTGAAGATTATTTCTTAAGTATGCAGCGTTAGTGAATTTTGCTCGTTTTCTTTTTTCCTGCTTGTCTGTCAGAAACTGTTTATTTGGTAATTTAGAGATAATTTGGTAGAATTATGGTAGGAGCAAGCTTAAAAGTGGCAATTGTGGGTATGTCAAAGTAAAGGGCATCTAAAAGCTTCATATGCTGCTGGCTTGTTTCCTTTTTTAATTAATTTTATTTTGGATTTCTCAGTTTCGGAAGAAAAGGAGGAAGAAGAAGAAACAGAAGATGCAGGTTTGGATGACTGGGAAGCTATGGTTAGTGATGAAGACCGAGAGAAAGGTGGGCATGTAAATACCAAGTGGATGCCTTTTCTGATTAATGATTTTCTTTTGGGCTGAGTGTTTTTGTTTTTGGAGAAAACAATATTGTGTTACAATTCTCCCCCTTTCCTCAATTCCTCAGTTAGATGAATGATGAAGCAAGAGTGATAAGAAATAGATATAAGTGCCTCACCTCCCTTAAAGGAAGAGCTTTCAGAAAACTGTTCAAATCCTAATCAAGAGGACTCTTCTGAGATGTTAGTATGTGTACTTATCACCTGAAATTAGTCACTTGAGTTTTTTGTTTGGTTTTTTTACAGAAGTAAAAATCCCCTCTACTTAATGTACTTAAACCACCTCTAGGAGTCTAGGGAAACTTTTAACCCTGTACTACATTTTTCTAGTAACCATTTCAAAGCCTTAACAATTCCACTACACACATTTTTGCGACCTCTGAAAGAATACTTTTGAGATAAGTTCTCAAATAAGTGAGGGACTGAGACAGTGTGAAAGATAGTATGCATGTGTTATAGTAAGCTCTACGTATCTTACCTCTTGCTTTGAGAGGGGAGAGAAGAAGAAAGGGAGAAATTATCAACGCATTCATGTCCCTGAGCATAACAGCTGTACTGGGCATGTCAAAGCCCATATTCTGTCTCCAACTAATAGCAATGCATATGGAGAAGTTAGAGCTCAGCAAGCATGTAGGGATAACTTCTCAAATATGTTTCTCCAGAGGCGGAGGAAACAGTGCTGCTGTTAATCTTCTTGAAGGGGAGTCGGTTGCTGTACTTAATCCTTCCATGATCTATCTTCGTTCTTTCTTAAGATCAAAGACTAGTTTTGAATATTCTGACTTATATTCAGCCCCACACTTCTAGCACCTGTGCTTTTAAGTTTGATATTCTAGATATGTATATGTTCAGCAGTCTGAAATAATTTCAGCACGCGTGGGTGTTCCTGTGGTGCTAGGTTGTCCTACCTTGACTAGGAAGGACTGCTCATCTTCTTGAAAGTCTGTTTTGGTCTGTTGCCACTGTCCTGGGGAGAATGTCACATCTCGGGCATTCTACTGGCTGATCAGATTTGAATGATCTGCCAGTGCAATCCAGAAAAAGAACCTTCCTGGGATTTAGACTCAGTATGTTATTAAGCTGACGGACTTCCAGTGTAGCAAGGAAAGATAACTAAGAGCAGCATACCTCCTAGCAACCCTGTAAGGAAGGATGCTTAGCTTTAAAGAGTGTTCATAAAGTTGTTTCTATAGTTTCACAAGTACAACAAATGATCAAAAAATAATTTTTTTCTTTGAAAGCTTCCCATTTGTTTTTGTTTACTCATTAATTCTTCTGGAAATATAAATCTTCTCTAAACTATTCAAGAAAACCTTAAGATGAGGTTTTTAAAGAAGTAGAAATGACTGTAAGAATCGAAGTTCGGAAGTTCCAATTCTTACTTTGTCTTTTAAATACACTTTCATCTGTAATTCACTGAATCCATTCTGTGTTGAATTTGGAGCATTGCTTCTATGTTAAAGGAATTAATTTATGAATGCACTTAATGAAGTGCATAGGGTTTTAAAGGACATCATTTTATTTCTCTGGATATTTGAAGATGACCGATCATATCCTTATTCCCTCCCTTCTCCAAACTTGCTCTGCTGGCACAGATTCTAAATGCTTAAGTCAGCAGCTCTAGACATGAAAAACTTGATGCAGAAAGTTGAAAAATTATCTTGCATAGGACTTCTTCACTGGAACCTGATCTCATTCCTTACTTTTATGCAGTAGACTTTCTTGATTTCTATGTTTTGTTGCCCCCTCCTGACAAGTCTGAATTCAATACAGACTTTTTTTACTTTAGATTTTATTTTTTTTCTTTGCTAGAGAGCAAACCTGTCCACATTGAAGTCAAAGAACAAAATGAAGTGGAGGAGGAGGAGGAGGATGAGGAGGAAGAGGAGGAGGAGGAAGAGGAGGAGGAGAGTGAAGACTCTGAAGATGCAGAAAGCGAAGGGAGTGAAGATGAGGATGAAAAGACTTCAGATGAGAGAGAGACAGATTCCCAAGCTGTTGGAAAACAATCTATGGAGAAAAAGCCTAGCAAGGAGATTAGCTCTG